ATGGAAACATCTTAAATGTTCATCAATGGGATGAATGAACAAAGAAAATATGACACACACACTCACACACATACAATGGAACATTGTGCAACCTTAAAGAAGAGGGAAATCCTGTCCTTTACAATAAAGTGGATGAAACTGTAAGATATCATACTAAGTAAAATAAAGCAGACACAGAAGAATAAATACTACATGATACCACTTATATGATAAATATGAAATTCAAACTTACAGAAACAGAGTGAAATATGATTGCCAGGGGCTTGGGAGGAAACAAGGAGGTGTTAGTAAAAGGGTACAAAATTTGCTTATATAAAGTGAGTTAGTCCTAGAGATCTATTGTACAGCATATCATTAACGATACTGTGTTATACATGTGAAAAGTTGCTCACAGTGTAGATCTTATTTTAAGTGTCCTAACAACAATAAAAATAACAACAATAATAGGAATATGGCAGAAAGAAATGTGGAAGTGAAGAAGCAGTTTATGACATGAATTGTGGTAATGGTTTTATCAAAACAGACTTACCTACAAACACATCAAGTTATATATATTAATTAGGTACAGCTTTGTGTATGTCAAAAAAAACTTTTAAAGGCTGATTGATCTCAGCAGAGAGTTATTGGCACAATGTGGCCCAGATCTAACTTTCAAATTTTATTTCCCTACCTTCTTGCCTTTCAGCCCTTGACAGCTCTGATTGTGACTTGTTCTTCAAATTGATTCTTGTCCTTTGCTTTTTGTCAGCCCTTTGACTAAGGTTGTCAACTTTTTCACTGGAGTAAGATCCTGACCTCAGCCTGTTCTTTGTTTCGTTTCCATGCTACTCTTGCTAAGTCTGATGATGACTCATTTGCATTGCTGCCAATATCTCATCTCTTCCTGAACCCACATTTTGTTTTGTTCTTCAGAATTTGAGGGCACTCTGCCCATCCCTCTGGTAGCAAGTATGAGATTTGACTTCTTCCAGTGACTTTGTATTCAGCTTGAAGAGCCTGGATGTAAGAATAAGAAATTTTTACCTTCAAGGAGTTTACACATTTGTTGGGGACAGAAGAGGCAGTTAAGAAATGAGACCAGATAATTTGCAAAGAGCTCAATGAATGCTGTAGACACAAGACCTACTAGAGTTAAGAGAAGAGTTTAGGGTATTTCTGGGGAACTTAGGGAAAGAGTTGGATGTGCCAGGGGAAGGCATCACAGGTGGTGGACTGGGGCAGACAGCATGAAGTAAGAATCACTTAGGACTTAACTTTTCCTTCATTTTACTTGCTCTCCTTCATTTTCTATTGACGGTCATGTCCCCAAATGGGCCCTGGGTGCTACCATCCTTCATTCTGACTCTTATTTGTGGTTTTGCTTCACTGCCTGTTGTAGTGACTATCACAGCGAGCTTAAATTTCATTGACTTTTCATTTTTTGCCCTGTATTAAGAAATTTTAGATATTTCACTGGGGCTGATAGTCATTCACTCTAAGATCTGAGTTTGTCTGTGGTGAACTGTGCCAACATCTTCCACAAAGATGGGAAAAGAAAAATTGCTTGATTTTTCTCCCTGAGGGCTTCTGAGATCTTAATTATTTGAAGCACTTCCATCGAGCTAATATTTTTTATGTATTATTCTTGGATACAGACAGGTGTCAAGAATTTATAAACCTTTATTTTTCAAATGGAAAAATCTGAATTTCGCAATGGGAAATGATGAGCTCAGAATGTGAATTCCTCTTGGGGTTGGAGATGTGCTTTTTCTTTATCTCCCTTGTGTCCATTGTTGTTCCTGGAACATATCAGGCTCTTGGTAAATGTTTTTTGGGTGAATATTCAATTAATGTCTCAGAAAAAAGCAAGGACAATAATTGAGGGTGTGAAGAGAGCTCAGCTAAGCTGAGCTTAGCATGCAGAACTTCATCCTTTCACAATGATTTTGAGTTCTTGTTCAAAAGTGTCTGATGTTTAAGATTATGTCCTTTCTGAAGTTTTGCATGACATCTACTCCTAGCTATTGTGCAGTTACTCATTGTGATTTCATAGCACTTTTATCCTTGTAAGGACCAAACAGCATTATATTTTGTGACCTCTTTGTATATCTGTCTCTTGCTCTACTTGTTGAACTTTTTCAGGAATTCATTTCTTGTTCATTTTTATAAGTCTAGCACTTGGCCCAGTACCTGGCACATAGTAGGCATGAAATGGTTACTTAGTGAATAAATAATCATATGATCATTGTGGATGCTGTTCGTGTTCCACACAGACCTTTTCAGATACCATCCCTTGGCTCCTGGATGTTTTGCTCTTAACAGCTCAAACCATCAACCTTCTTGAGAGAGCTACCTTTGGGCCATGGGGCACTCTTTGCCCAGACCATCCAAGAACAAAAAGTGCTTGGTAGTTTACATTCCTCAGGGGCATTCTGGAGCGAGTTGTTTACTGGTTCAAGAGTATGAAATTCCACCTCCCTTGCCTCCAAGTGGAACACACTCTGCAGGATTATTTAGCTTCTAGAGCTCCCACAGGTTCAGACTGAGGTTAGAACTTCACCTGGGCTGACACCATGCTTAGCTTCTTTTCCTTTGCTGCCCTTATTTCTCCACCCTTACCAATCGGCAGGGAACACCCTTACCAATCTCCTGAGAACATTTCCTCAATAAATTTCTTTTGCAAGAGTTCTCATTGCAGGCTTTGCTTCTGGGAAACCCAAACTAGAAGCTATGTTGATTCAGAATGTTGGAATTGTACATGGAAGTTTCTTTGTGATTTATGCTGAAATAATAAAAATGTTTCAAACATCAGGTAACTTCAGTAAGTATTAGAGATAGAGCTCCTGTAATGATTTTCCAATCCCATACCTTTTATGGGGAAGCATACCCACTGATAAATATATTTATCAGGAAATAGATTTGTTTGGTTAAAAAAACCAAACAAACCAGGAAGCCAGCCCTGATGTAAAATCGGACCATTCACGTGTTGGAGCTGAAAAGATGGGACCCTAATGCATGAGTCACAGAGAAAACACAGCTGGAATGAAGCAAGGCATTCCAGCACATTCAGGAATGTCACTAATTCATTTCTGAATACTTGGGAAAATATAGTCAACTGAGTAACACATACCTCTCTGCTTGCTGTTTCCCATTTTACCTCTTGCTTTCTCCATTTCTAAAGCTCTCCAGACCTGTTTTTCCCACTGTCCTGAAATAGCTGGTCAAATTTCCTTTCACCTTCTGGTGACTGTAGCCACAGTAAGAACCAAGGTGCCAATGGAAAGAGCAATGACTGAAAGATGGGATTTTCTAGTGGTTGTATATATTTTCCAAGAAGAGTAGATCATGGCATTTTAAAGGGATCATAAATATAGCATTAATGAAACTGGAAGCCATCATTTCAGCAGCCAGATTAGTGTCAGGAGTTGACACCGTTCCTCGTGGAGGGGAAAGCACTAAAATAAAATTACTCAAGTCCAAATATTCCCACACTGCACAGGCATTAGGTGAATGACACTTTGGAAAACATGTGCATCAATATCTTTTAAGTGCAAACTGTCCCTTCTTAAACCCTTGGGCTAGTGACAACTTGACATACAGAAGACGTAGCTCTGCATAGGCTATTTAACCAAGAAAAGATGATTGTCAGTTTTCTCCAGCGTTCTTTTGTTAATAGTCTATAAACACGGATGCCCCTGATTAGGTGCAACTCCATTTCTTTATTTGCAATCACCATTAAATTACTCTCCCAAAATACTGCAGGAAGGCCTCAGACCTCACTGAACAGAAACTTTATAAGCTCTTTCTCCCTCCCTTGGGCTTTCCTCTGCTCAGCTGCCCCTCCTCCGACTCAGAGTGTGTAATCAGCCTGGATCTCCTGCTGAGCACCGTCAGGAAAATGGCAGCTCTCACTGAGAGACAGCAGAACCATTCACAGTCGTGGAGCTATTGAAACATTGACAGATATGACAGACATTTCCAAAGCTGTGCGAAGCATTAATTTTAATGTATGCTGTGTGTCCTTACTTAGTAAATATTTATTTGACTGTGAAAGATAGGAGAGGTAATCACTGCTTTCCTTCAAATATAGTTTCTCTATGGGCTCCATCCCCCTTATCTAAAGGGAGCTCAGGATTCAGTTGTTGAGTTTGAAAACAGAGCATGGGAAATGGAAGCAGGCAAGAGCCAAGATCTTTATTCTAGAATCAAACTAACAGTCTGTATTTTGTCCAAAGTGTTTGCTTTGGTCACGTGGACACAGCTTAGCCCTGGTGCTATGAGTGAAAATCATGATTAGCTAGAAAATTGTTTCTAGGAGGTCTGGATTGCCAATGAGATTGTATCTGACACTATCTTCCACTGTACTCTTCCCACCCAAATCTCCTTCTCGATTGACCTCTACAGTCACTGACTGTCCAATCTGTTCAGAAAGCCTCTCCAGGACTACCATCTCTTCAGATGTATAGCAGACAATTATTCTCTCAAAATCGAATGGATGGAGAAGTTGGAAGGCAGTAGACTGGATCACAACAATAATCATTCTTTGACTACCTGCAAAGGTATACAGTTATTTTCACATGCACTATTTGAGTAATCTAGACATCTCCAATGCAGGCATTTCGCAGAGGAGAAATGAGGCATAACGAGGACAGAATACTTCTTCCAGTGTCACCTTATGACAGAATTGGGATTTAGACTTGAGACTTTCCAATTCAAGTCTGGTGCTCTGTCTACTACACTGCAACAGAGAGCATTGCATACATAAAAGCATTCTGTAAACCTTAAATCTTTATGGAAATGTTAGTTACTGCTATTGTGGATGGTTAGAAAAATGTGCTTGTTAGTTTTGTCTGGCTGGTCAGCCATCCAGGGCTTTTCTAATGAGGCAATGAACCCAACAGGGGTGAGGGGATGAGCTGCCAAGCCTTTCACATCAACTTTGTGTGCACTAATTAAACATCATGCCTGGATAAATGGCCCAGGATGACAAAGTCCACAGCTTCTCACAGATGGTTCCAGGAAGTCGCATGGTTGGCTGGAGAGGATTTGGTCATGAATAAGATGCAACCCCAAACCTCCTACACTGGCTCTGTGAGACCAGGTACATTAATCTTCCTTTGTATCAGCAGCAAGCTGTGAAGTGAATGGCAGGTGGGCTCTGGAAATCAATTTCCCTTTGGTGAGTATCTGCTAAATATGTGCTTATTTCATTATAATATACAAGGAGGGTGACATATACTGGGCGATAAGATCAAGCTCTAAAATATCGATTCATTATAAGGTGGTTTTTTTGAACCTATGCTGTTTATCTTGGCAAGCTTTCTTAAACATCCCTTGACCTTTTACAAGCTGGTTTATTTACTAAGTTTGTTCTCTTTAGTCCTTTGTATTTAGTGGAACTTCTTTGGAATTTTCCTCTTACAAAATTTTATACTGGAGAGGAAAATATACATAGTCAAGTTCCCCAGAGGGTAGAAATAGGTTTGCAAATTATGCAAGATACTGGTCATGCATACTATGTTACAATATTAAGGCAACTCTAGAGTTTTAGAGACAGCAAGTTTTCTACACAACACTTTACTAAATGTGGAAGATACTCTACTTTTTCTGTCTCAAGTTCTATAAGAGTAGAAAAACCAATTTTTTTGGTCAGCAGTTGCATGGCCAGCCAATGACAAATCTTTAATGTGGTGGTAAAGGTATATTCTCTTGTGGAGTATCTAAAAAATTAGAAGAGCAATAACTTCTTACAAGACTTGAATTTTTTAGTCACCCTGATAGGAATGTGTTCACTGACAGTTACAAAGAAAATGAATCATCTACACTCTCTAACTAGTGTGACCCAAGATCTGTGACCCCAATAGTTTCATTTCATTAAGTCCTTAGGACAAAGACTCAAATCCTAGTATAAGAAGACTATGATCTTATTTAGATTCAAGCTCCTGTCCAGATCCAGTATTGATATTTGGGGCATCTTTATTTACTTGGCACCAGGTTGAATGTTTTCACTTATATTATCCTGTTAATGCTTAAAACAAACTGTACTGTTCTACAAACAGAGACACTGACCCTCCCACCCCCTCAAAAATTTAATTGATTTGCTCAAAGTAGAAGCTTGGATGGGATCCAGGGGTTTCAAATGGACACTTTTATGTTCTTTCATTGGTGATTTTGTATAACTGACCTCTGTTGTTCCTAAGACATGAGATGTTGAGAAATGAAGAAACCCCCAAGCCATTCTGATTAATCTTGTCCATTCATGACTCAGCTTGTGGCCATCCTTGGTAGTTTGTACCCTTTTTTTGCCCAGCATTTAGATTGAGGGTGATGAGGCATAGGGTTCTCTAATAACACCTCTGCCCATAAATTCTTTACATCCAACCAAAGTAAATGGTGAACTATTTTTTTTAAATGTTGGTGGTTGATCATGCAATTGCTTCAAATAGCTGGTCTAAGGCTAATAATTAAGGTGGAATTAGAATCATTGCAAGCCCTTTTAGAGATATCTTTTACACTAAACTTTTCTTGTCCTAGAAGAGTCATACAAAGTCATTATGAATCTGGGAACCAACAGAGTTTAGACTTATTGGTGGAGAAGAATCCCTCCTACCTGCAAAAACCTGAGAGGAAAACAAATGGTAAGAGGGTAGATGGGCCTTTGGACCTTGATTTCTGTAATAAATAGATGGGCTTCTTGGTCAATGTGTAGGTAGTTACTTTCTGAAGATGAATTTATTCTTGCCTTATAAAAAATAAACAATTTAGTTCTCCAACATTTTATGGCTGAGCAACATGGAGGTGAATTATGTGTAATAAGAGGGCATGGCTTCTGTCCATCATCAAGAGTTAATAAAGGCCCCATAGTCTAAGAAACTTGTTTCTTTCGATTTGTTCAGTGCAATAGGACACTTCCTCTGCATTAGAATGACTTAACCATGGTTACATTTTGTGGAATAAAAATGTGGTGAAAGTTGAAGAGCTCTAGGATGGCTTGGGGACCTTATTTTAGGAGGCCGTGTGACATGGGTTAACTCTTCACTTTATTTCAGAAGAGTGAATACCAGGGAAACTAATGCAACAGACTAAGAAGATAGCACATTGAACTCCTCTCCTTGGAATCATTCCCAGAACTTTCCTTGCACACTATTTTCTGATGACTCCCAAATTTACATCTTAAGCTCAGAGCTTTGCAATGAACTCCAGACACAACTTTCAACTCCCTGTTCAACACTTTGACTAGCATGTCTTGTGTACACACACTACTTATCTGACCAACAAAATCTACTGTGCCACTCTGCCTTATTGTCTTTCTAAGTCTAGCTAGAATTATTCCAGAGTTTTCCATCTCTCTTGTTCTCACATTTGATCAATCATTATGCCATGTTAATCCAACCTTAGAAATATCCCTCAAATCTAATTCTGCCACTTTATTTCCTACCTATTCCCATTTTCTTGGATTTTTCTTGCCAGAATTATTGCAAACATTTCCCACTGATATCCTTGATTCTGATTTTCTAATCTCCAATCTCTTATATACTCTGCTGCCAGAATTTTCTTCCTAAAAAAATGCCATCATGTAGCTTTCCCATTTAAAGACCTCCATTGTCTTCTCCTTGCCAGTGGTATGAAGTTCAAACTCGCTTGTTCCTATGGCTTTATAAGGTTTTCGCAATCTGGACCCAGCTTATCTTTCCAGTCTCATCACTTGCCAACCCCCTCAACCACACGTTCTACATGATCACCAAACTGAACTGTCTTGTTTTCTTAACACACAATATGCTTTCTTTATTCTGTTTGTTAGCATAGCTTCTCCCTCTGCCTAGAATCCCCTCTTTTTTTCCCAGAGAACTCCTAGTCATCTTTAAAAACCGCACAGTGACCAACAACAAGTATATTTTTGACCATTTATTCTGTTTCAGGCACTATGCTAAGTACTTTGCAGGTACTATATTAATTAATTTTTTAAAACCCCAAGATGTGAGCACTATCACATTTTAAGGAGGAGTTAATTGAGACTTAGAGAGCTTGGGTAATTACCAAATTTACACAGGGTATCTAGGCTGAGGAACTCCAGAACTCATACTCATCTCTGCAGCAGAGAGCTTGAAAAATTAAGTGAATGAATGAATAATGAACAAATAGTAATAGGAAGATTGTGACCTTTGCTTTTGGTGAAGCCATAGCATGAAGTATTTATTCCTTGCTCTTAGAGGGGAGATACCAGCCCTTTTTTTGCATTGAGAATTGTAAATTCATTATTAGTAAACCTCTTCTCCAAGGATTCTGTGATTATCACCATAACCCACCCTGGGCAAGCTTAATAAGGTCTTCCACTGTGTTCCCCTAAACTCATGCTTAAACTTCTGTTGATGGATTGAATTATCAATATTAGCTCAAGTGTCTGTCTTCCTCTCACTAAACAAGGAGCTCCTAGAGGAGCAAGAATGTCTTGTTTCTCTGTGTAACTGCTGCAGTACCCAACATGGCATTTGGTACAGAATAACTATATGGTATGTATTTCTGGAATGAATGAATGAATACTCTAAACACCCTTGCTTTGGTCTAGAAGTAGATATATCATAGATGTTATAATGCATAAACATTTCTGTTCATATTTCCACTTAATGAGCTTATACCTCATAATGAATGGAAGCCATGATTCTGATGTTCTTCTGTCTCTCCCAGTTGCTGTGTATTTTTTCTAGTGAGAGCATCTTTCCATGCTGGTTTATATCAAGACTTTAAGGCATAGTTTATTTTTTAAAATAAATTAATGGTCTCTAAATTAATAGCCTGCTAAAGATTTTCTCTGGTGCTCAATTAAAGTATTGGTGATCCTTCCTATTCCTAGAGGAAAACCTTTTTTTTCTTTTTGTGGGAATGGGGGCTTCTAGAATTGTTGAGAACAGTATATAAAACTTTATGGGCTTTAAGATATATTAAGGGATTTGGGAAGGGATTTTTTTCACTACACTGATTTTTTTAAACATAAAACCAACACTGGATACTAACCTTCAAATAAGATGTGACTTTAGGCCTACTGAGTGGTGGATAGAATATTGATATAATAGCCTAAGAAGATGACATTGAAGTTCCAACTTGACTTTTAGATTTCTCCCACTGATTTATAACCAAAAGTGGTTTTGTGAGTTTGTCTTTCTTAGCTGTGTGATTGGTATGCTATCTCTGCCAATCTGCCAAGGCAGATGCTAGCTGCCTAGGCCAAGCTAAAACTACTGAGCCAAATACTAGCCATCAGGGAGGGCTGGCAATACTGTAGGAGTGTGTGTAGAATAGATAGAATAACAAAGTTCATACTCAGGGAAAGAGCAAAAATGGGGAGATAGTTTGGAACAGTGATCAGGGCTTAAGTCAAGATTAGTATAGCAAAAGAGGGATTCTAGATTTTCTAGTGACAGTCATAATCTTGGGCTTGGCATTAAAGTGAGAAAGGTAAAAGTTGACAGGAGTGTCTTGGCATATGAAGTACATGAGCTTTGGTGAAGGAAGGCTCAGTCAGTTCAGAATGGTTTTCTTGGAAAATAGTTACATAACTTAAATATAAATGAGTCATGTTAGATCTGCTTCTGACAAAACATAAAACAGCTCAATAAGTGCAATTCACTGCCTCCACATCTACCCCAAACCACTAAAAATTTAACTCTAAAGGATTAGAATATAATGTGGATCTTTACTGTGTCTTCTTGAATTGTTAGTCAAGAAGTTTATACATTATAGCCAAAGAAAAATATATTAAAATTTGTCTTCACTCATCCATCTGTCTAGAGATATTAAAAAATTTCCTCTCTTTCTGTTTCTATTTAAATCTCCACTTTTCTCTCCAGCTTTGACTTTTTCCCCATGTTCTTTGCTCTTCACCCTCCATTTTCTTTCTCCAAGTCACATGATGCTCCTTTCCTATTTGGGGAATATTTCTCCCACTTACTGGCCCAGAGCAGGATTCTGATGAGTGAAATTCTCCATCTCCTTGCAGATATCTACATTTGCACTCCTTTTTGAAGATTAAGTGAAGCCCTGACTTCATCTCTGTTAGGATAGATCTAACTCTTCAAAGCTATCCAGATACTGAAAAATTTTGTGGGAAAAAGAATTTCCAAAGAGAAAGCATGTAACCTGAATTGGCCTTTCACAAATGATGGTTGCTTCATCAAAGATCAGCTATTGACCAACTTGGCCAAGGTTAGGCTTTGCAAAGTTCCCACCACTGGCAAGAACATCCAGAACCATATTGTCCAAAGATACTGTGCATGGTGCTCCTGAAGAATTTGTGGTTGTAGCTCCATCGTCCACATAGCCCAGGGATTAAGCAATAGTGAAGTGAAGGGCATGGCTAAATGGCAGTGCTGGCTTGAGGACACTAGTTGTCTATCTATTGAAAGCTATCAATTTTTTTCCTTTGGAGTCAAAGATTATTTCTCGCATGTGAATGAACTGGTGAAAAGGCAAAATTCAAAAGCCATCCCCATCTCCCTCCCCTGATTCCACCACACTTTGGTTTTGTCCATGTGTCCTTTATAGTTGTTCCTGAAAACCCTTAATCCTTTCCCTCCCATTATCCCCTCCCAACTCCCTTCTAGTTACTGTCCGTTTGTTCTGAATTTCAATGTTATATTTTGGTTATATATGGTTATATTTTTCTTGCTTGTTTGTTTTGTTGATTAGGTTTAACTTAAAGGTGAGATCATATGGTATTTGTCTGTCACTGCCTGGCTTATTTCACTTAGCATAATGCTCTCCAGTTTCACCCATGCTGTTGCAGAGGGTAGGAGCTCCTTCTTATTTTCTGCTGTGCAGTATTCCATTGTGTAAATGTACTGTAGTTTTTTAATCCATTCGTTTACTGATGGGGTTGGGGAGAATGGAGGGGGAAAAGGCAGACAATTGCACTTGAGCAACAACAAAATTTTAAAAAATGGGAAAAACCCCAAAATGAATGATATAGGCTCACATAGTATTCAGAGAACACTTTGGGAAGTTTTCTGTCAGTGTCTTGAAGTTGAGATATTCAAATGATGTTAATGATATTGCAAGTGAGAACTATATAAAAATAATAAAAATAATTTGAAAGTATCTACTAACAGTCTTAAAAATGATTATCAATTTAATTTCTGAGTGTCTATCCAATAAAATAAGCCTAAATATTAAAAAAACAAAACTTTATGCATAAAGATGTCAATTGCAATAATCTTTATACTAGAGATCAATGGTTAAAAGTTTAAAGGACTATTCTGTTAAGAAAAACTGTTATGCACATCATGATAATTGTGCTGAAAACATAATTAAGCAGCCATTAACATGGTACTGGTTATGCCTATGTTACAATGTTCAATGTAAGAGGTACATTGAAAAGTAAGACATAAATTTACATATCCTGTATGATGAAAACTTTATAATATATATGTATATATATGTATAATCTATACACACATATATGCATACAAATATATATGTGTGTGTATATATATATGCAGATTAATGAAAGCAAATTGTTGGTTGTAGTTCCCTTGGGATGCTGCTGGAACTGTGGGTTTTTCCTCATTTTTCTACTTTTATATATTTAATATTTTCCTATAAAGACCATGCACTTATTTTATAATAATAAGGTAATAATAATAAT